TCTCTACAATAATTCTACATTCTATGTTAACACATTTCTAAACTCTAAAATAAGCTAAACATTCCTTCAAGTGCCATATTTATTTCTCCTTTGACTGCTGCAGCTTTACATCTCTGAACAGCAGAAAAAGCCTTTGTGCTCATTATTCTCAGATCTTTTCTTTTGAAGAGCTGCTGTTTTTGTTTCCACTGGTAAGACTAATAATTTTCAGTTCTTGGCATAACACTTTCCTGAACATACCTTGTTTTATATCACGTTTTGTTAACATCGTGAGACAGTTTCCTGTAGTTTTGTAAAGGTTTTGGTCACCACAGTTTGATGGTTTAATGTGCTCAGAATCATAAATCCATGTATAATGAATATATATCTTTATCTAATCTCATGAAGTTATGATCTTTTATCTTTATATACTCTTCATCATTAATGATAGAATTAAGGTTTCATGGTCATGGGTTAGTTTATCCAATGTTTTGAGTTTTGACTCAGATGCCTTTCCTGAAGCAAGCTCAAAGGCAGTGTGTACTTTGAGGGGAATAGTAATATACTGTGTTTTGTTTTCTTCTTTTTAAACGCACATCAAGGAGTTTGCAGTGCAGTAAAAACTATGCATTTTGGGATTAACTTGAAAGTTCTGCCTCTGACCTGCCCTCCTTACATTCATTATTAAAAATACTAAAACTGAAACACAGCATTTTTCAAACAATAAAAAGTAAACTGAAATATGAAAATAAACTCTGCAAACTTAATGAAACTGAACAGAGTTAATAAATAAACAAAAATGGAAACTAATTAGAAAATACAAAACGAATAACTCTGGTAGCATCCAGGTGTTGCCTCATTCTGCCAGCAGTGAGGCTGACCCTAGCTGAATGCAAAAACTTGGATAAGGAGGAAACACTCCTGTTTGCCCCTCTATGGCACCTGTTGTTCATTTCATTACCATCAAAGCAGCTGAAACTGAATAACACCCGCCTCTGCTGCTTAAATGACCACATCAGAGGGTCAGAGGGCACGGTGGCGCCAGTGTCCAGCAGCCTCACTTCTGTCAGTGCGCCCCAGGGTGGCTGTGGCTAAAATGTAACTGCCATCACCAGTGTGTGAATGTGTGTGACTGAATGTAGTGTAAAGCGCTTTGGGGTCCTTAGGGACTGAGTAAAGCGCTATACAAATACAGGCCATTTACCAATTTACATCAATATCTCAGAAGTTTAACTTCTGACTTGATGCTCTGATTAAAAAATGTTCAGTCTCACCTGGAGATTAGTTTTCATTCACTTCCCTTCAACAATTAAGCCTGTGAATTATAGATTAACCAGATGAATACCGCAGGATGGGTGGATGCACTTCTATTCTAACATCTTTTTTCATTTTATCCTGTTTATTTGATTTTTTTTGTGTTTTATGAGCAGAGAAACCATCTGATATGACAGTTCCCATCATTCCTGCAGTAGTTGTTTTTGTTCTCATCATCATCGTTGCTGCTGCCGGATTTGCTGTTTACAAAAAGAAGAAAGGTGAGATATTCAGAAGCAACAGTGCGAAGCTCAGTTACATTATTTCTGTATTACTGTCTATATTAAACATGGTTATCCTGAATTTATGTAAAAGAGTGGGATTGTCAGGCATTTCAAGTGGGATTGTTTTTTTTCAGTTTCAGAGAGGCGACCTACATCATGTAAGTACAACTTTATTGTTTTTTATTCGTATTTCCCGCTTTGGTCTGACAGTTTGGATTTAAAACATTATTTGTGTAACCGATATATTTTTTCTTTGGCTTTAACAGCTCCTGACAACAATGATGAACAGA